AGGGATCTCTGGAGAAGACACGTGGAAGAAGTGATCTCTGGGAAGACATAAAAGAAGATTCTGAGAAGACAGGAAAGAAGAATCCCTGGAGAAGACATGAAGAAGGGATCTCTGGGGAAGACAGCAAAGAAGGATCTGAGAAGACGAAGAAAGACTGCGAAGACATGAAAGGATCTGGGGAAATACACGGAATAAGGAACCTGGGAGAAGACATGGAAGCAAGGATCTGGGGAAATACACGGAATAAGGATTCTGGGGAAGACAAGAAGGATCTCTAAATACATGGAATAAGGATTCTGGGAAGACAAAGAAGAAGGATTCTGGGGAAATACACGGAAGGATCTCTGGGGAAGATGCGAAGAAGGATTCTGGGGAAACAGCATGAATAAGATTCTGGAAAAGACATGAAGAAGATCCAAATACCTGGCCAAGGATTCTGGGAAGACACGGAAGAAGGATCTCTGGGACACATGGAAGACGGATCATGGGGGAAGCACCGAAGAAGGATCCTGGGAACACACGGAATATTGAACCCTGGAGAAGACATTATCAGAAGAAGGGTCCTGGGAAGACACGGAAGAAGATCCTGGAGAAGACACGGAAGAATGATCCAGTGGAAGATAGATGGAAGAAGGATCCTGGAGAAGACACAAGAAGGATCCTGGGGAACATATCACGGAATAAGGAACCTGGAGAAGACACGGAAGAAGGACTTTGAGAAGACACGAAGAAAGATCTCTGGGAAGACTCTCGAAAGAAGGATCTCAAAGACAGGAAGAAGGATCTGGGGGAAGACGCGAAGAAGGATTGCGGGGAAGTTACGGAAGAAGGATCCTCAGAAGACACGAAGAAGGAGATCCTGGGAAACAAGGCGGAAGAAGGATCCTGGGAAGACACGGAAGAAGGATCCCGAGAAGACATGAAGAAGGATCCTGGGGAACACACGAATATGGATCTTAACATACGGAAATACGATAATGTGGAAGACACGAAGAAGGATCCCGAAGACTCGAAAGAAGGATCCTGGGAATACACGGAATATGGATCCGGGGGAAGACACGGAAGAAGGATCCTGGGAAGACACGGAAGAAGGATCCTGGGGAACACACGGAAGAAGGATCCTGGGGAATACACGGAAATAGGATCCTGAGAAGACACGGAAGAAGGATTCTCGAGAAGACACGGAAGAAAGATCCTGGGGAAGACACGTAAGAAGGATCCTGGGAAATACACGGAATAAGGATTCTGGGGAAGACGCGGAAGAACGATCCTGGGGAACACACGGAATAAGGATCCTGGGGAAGACGCGGAAGAAGGATCCTGAGGAACACACGAAGGAAAGGATCCTGGGGAAGACGCAAAAAGGAATCCTGGGAACATGACGGGAATAAGGATCCTGGGGAAGACGAAGTGAAGAAGGATCCTGGGGAAATGGCTGACGGAATATGATCCTAAAGACGCGAAGAAGTTATCCTGGGGAAACACACGGAATAAGGATCCTGGGAAGACGCGGAAGATGATCCTGGGGAATACACGGAATAAGGATCCTGGAGAAGACAAGGAAGAAGGATCCTCGAGAAGATTACCAAGAAGGATCCTGGGAAGAAACGAAAGGATCCTGGGATGACACGGACACGACCCTGAGAAGACATTTAAGAAGGATCCTAAAGACACGGAAGAAGATCCTGGAGAACACACGCCGAAGAAGGATCTGGGGAACACGAATAAGGATCCTGAGAAGACAAGGAAGAAGGATCTCGAGAAGATGGAAGAAGGATCCTGGGGAAGAAATGGAAAAAGGATCCTGGGAAGACACGGAAGAAGGATTCTGGAGAAAAGACACGGAAGAAGGATCCTGGGGAAGACACGAACAAGATCCTCGAATATTAATGAAGGACTTCAAATATTTGTTAGCGATCCTGAAGACATGAAGGATCCTGAAGACGCAGAAGAAGGATCAAGGAAGAAGAAGAGTCCTGTGGAAGGACACGAACAAGGATCTCGAAGACACGGAAGAAGGATTCGGGGAAGACACGAAAGAAGGATCCTGGGGAAGAATGAATGAAGCATCCTGGGGAAGACGCGGAAGAAGGATCATGGGAAGTCACGGAAGAAGGATCTCGATAGACATACGAAGAAGGACCCTGGGAAACATACAGAAGGATCCTGGGAAGATTACGAAGAAGGATCCTGGAGAAGACACGGAAGAAGGATCTCTAGAACAAACGGAATGAGGATCCTGGGAAGACGCAGAAGAAGGATCCTGAAAGATACGGAAGAAGGATTCTGAGAAGACACGAAGAAGGATCTCAGGGAAGACATGGAAGAAGGACCTGGGGAAGGATGCCAAGGATCTCTGGAGAAGACACGAAAGAAGGATTCTGTGGAAACATGACGGAATATGGGATCTCTGGGGAAGATACGGAAGAATGATCCTGAGAAGATATGGAAGAAGGATCCTGGGGAACACAATGGGAATAAGGATCTTGGGGAAGATACTTGAAGAAGGATCCTGTAAGATACAGAAGAAGGATCCTGGAGAAGACGCGGAAGAAGGATCCTGGGGAATGACACGGAATAAGGATCCCGAAAGACACGAAGAAGGAATCTGGGGATGGCACGGAAGAAGTATCCTGGGGAATACATTTAATAAGGATCCTGGGGAAGACGCGAATTAGCGATCTGGGGAATGACACGAATAAGGATCCTGGGAAAGACATTTGAAGAAGGATCCGGTTAATGGAAGAAGGATCCTGAAGATATGAAGAAGGATCCTGAGAAGACACGAATAATGACCGGAGAAGATACGGAAGAGAAGGATCTGGAGAAGACACGGTGAATAATGACCCTGGGAATACACGGAAGAAGGATCCTGGGAAGACAAGGAAGAAGGATCCTGGGAATTTAAATATGATCCTGAAGACAAGGAAGAAGGATCTCGAGAACATAATGGAAGAAGTGAATTCCAAAAGAACGGAAAGGATCTCTGGGGATACATGAATAATGACTCTGGAGAAGACAAGAAGGATTCCGGGAAGATACGGAAGAAGGATCTCAGAAGACACGAGGAAGGATTCTGGGGAATACACGAATAAGCGATCCTGAGAAGACAAGGAAGAAGGATTCTCGAGAAGACACGGAAGAAGGATTCTAAAGAAACGGTAAAGGATTCTAAAGACACGGAAGACACGGAGAAGACACGCAAGAAGGATCCTGGGAATATTACGAATAAGGATCCTGGGGAAATATTAACAAAGAAGCTAGATCTCTGGGGAAGACAATGAAGTATCCTAAGACGCGGAAGAAGGACTGGAAGAAGCGATCTTGAGAAGACACGGAAGACGATCTGGGAAATACACGGAAGAATGGACTTGGGGAAGACATGGAAGAAGGATCCTTGAGAAGAATGAAGAAGGATTCTAGAACAGCCACGGAATGAGGATCCTAAAGACGAAGAAGGATTCTGGAAGATGAAGAAGGATCCTGAGAAGACACGGAAGAAGGATCCTGGGAAGACATGGAAGAAGGACTCTAAAGACACGGCTCAAGGATCTGAGAAGATACGAAAGAAGCGATCCTGGGGAACACGGGTGGATCTCTGGGGAAGACACGGGAAGAATGACTCTGGAGAAGATATGGAAGAAGGATCCGGGGAACACACGGAATAAGGACTTGGGGGAAGACACGGAAGAAGGATCTCTAAAATATACAATAGAAGGATCCTGAGAAGACACGAAAGAAGGATCCTATCACACGGAATATGGATCCTGGGGAAGACATCGGAAGAAGGATCCTGGGAAGACACGGAAGAAGGACCCTTGGGAAGACATAGAAGAAGGATCCTGAAGAAGGACCGGAGAAGACAGAAGAAGCGATCCTGGGGAAGAAGGATCCTGGGGGAAGACATTTGAAGAAAGATCTTGGGAAGACACGGAATATTATCTGAAGACACGGAAGAAGGATCTTGAAGGTACGAAGAAGGATCTCGAGAAGACACGGAAGTATCTTGAGAAGACACGGAAGAAGGATCCTGGGAAATACACGGAAGGCGATCCTGGGAAGACACGGAAGAAGGATACTGTGAAGCACGTTAGAAGGATCCTGGGAAGACATGGAGAAGAAGCTATCTGGGAAGACACGAAAGAAGGATCCTAAGGAAAGGAAGAAGGGTCAGTGGAAGACACGGAAGAAGGATCCTTGGTAGATATGGAAGAAGGATCCTGAGACACGAAAGAAAGATCCTGGGAACACACGGGAATATGGATCCTGGGGAAATAGGGCCGAACAAGGATCCCGGGGAGATACTTGAAGAAGGATCCTGGGGAAATATTGACAGAAGAAGGATCCTGGAGAAGACACGACGAAGGATTCTGTGAAGATACGAAAGAAGGATCCTGGGGAAGACGGGAAAGAATAACTGGGGAAGTCACGAAGAAGGATCCTGGGAGAAGACACAAAGAAGGATCCCGGGGAAGACGCAGAAGAAGGATCATGGGGAAGATGGAAAGAAGGATCCTGAAGGAAGCAAGGATTCCTGGGGAAGACGCGGAAGAAGACTGTGGAATACGGAAGAAGGACTCTGGAGAAGAAGGAAGGATCCTGGGGGAAGATGCAGAAGAAGGATCATGGGAAGACACGGAAGAAGGATCCTGGAGAAGACTTGAAAAGAAGGATCTCAAGAACAGAGTGGAAGAAGGATCCTGAAGACACGAACAAGGATCCTGGGGGAAATACACGTAACAAGGATCCTGGGGAAGACACGAAGAAGGATCTTTAAAGCATACGGAAGAAGGAAACTGGAGAAGACACGGAAGAAGGATCTTAGAACACACGGAACAAGGACCCTGTGGAACACACGGGAAGTTAGGTCCTGGGAAGACATGGAAGAAGGAATCCTGGAGAAGACACGAAGAAGGACCGGGGAATACATGGAATAAGGATCCTGGAGAAGACATGGAAGAAGCGATTCGAGAAGACACGAAAGAAAGATCTCTGAAGACATGGAAGAAGGATCTGGGAAGAAATGGAAAAAGGACGGGAAGATACGGAAGAAGGATTCTGAGAAGATACGAAGAAGTGGACCCTGGGGAAGATACGGAATAAGGATCTGGGAAGACATTGAAAGAAGGACGGGGAAGACGAGCAGGTGATCTCTGGGGAAGACACGAGCAGCGATCTCTAAAGATGCAGAAGAAGGATTGGAAGACACGGAAGAAGGATCTGCAGAAGACACTTAAAGAAGGATCCTGGGAAACACATGGAAGAAGGATCCTGGGGAAGACACGAAGAAGGATCCTGGGGAAATACACGGACAAGGACCCCAGACACGAATAAGGACTCTGGAGAAGACACGGAAGAAGGATCCTGGGGAAGACAAGAAGGATTCCTGGAGAAGACACGGAGGAAGGATCTCTGGAGAAATACACGGAATAAGGAATCGGAGAAGATACGGAAGAAGGATCTTGAGAAGACACGGAAGAATGATCTTGGGGAAGATATGAAGAAGGATCTGGAGGAAGAAACGGAAAGATCTCGTACTTGAAGAAGGATCCTGAGAAGACGAATAAGGATCTGGGGAAGATGGAAGAAGGATCCTGAGAAGACACGTGCTAGCGATCTTGGGGAAATACGGAATAAGGAACCTGGAGAAGACACGGAAGAAGGAGATCCGAGAATATTACGGAAAAGATCTCTGGGAACACACGAATAAGGATCCTGGGAAGACACGGATGAAGGATCCTGGAGAAGACACGGAAGAAGGATCTGGGGAAGACATAAAGAAGGATCTTGAGGAAGATAGGAAAGAAGGATCCTGGGAGAAGACACGAAGAAGGATCTCTGGGAAGACAAAGAAGGATCTCTGAGGAAGACAGGAAGAAGGGATTCTGGACATACGGAAGAAGGATCTCTGTAAAGACACAAAGAAGGACCGAGGAAGATGAAGAAAGACGGAAGACACGGAAAGGATCCCGGGGAACACACGAACAAGGAACCTGGAGAAGACACAAAGAAGGATCCTGGGGAAATACACGAATAAGGATCCTTAAAGAATGCGGAAGGAAGTGATCCTGGGGAACACACGAATAAGGGATCTCTGGGGAAGACGGAAGAAGGGATCCTGGGGAACATACGAATAAGGATTCTGGGGAAGACGTGAAGAAGGATCCTGGGGAACACACGAATAAGGATCCTGAAAAGGACACGAAGAAGGATTCCAAACACCTGAATAAGGACTTGAAGACACGGAAGAAGGATCCTTATTTATTACGGAAGACGGATCATGGGAAGACACGAAGAAGGATCCCGGGACACGAATGACCCTGGAGAAGACACGTCCTGAAGACACGAAGAAGGATCCTGAAGACACGATCCAAAGGAAGAAGGATCTGGAGAAGACACGGAAGAAGGATTCCAAATACACACGGAATAAGGAAATTGGAGAAGATACGAAGAAGGATTTCGAGGAAGACATGGAAGAAAGATCTGGGGAAGACTCAAAGAAGGATCCTGAAGACAGGAAAGAAGGATCTCAAAGACGCGAAGAAGGATCATGGGAAGTCACGAAGAAGGATCCTGGAGAAGACACGGAAGAAGGATCCTGGAAACACATGGAAGAAGGATCCTGTAAAAGACACGGAAGAAGGATCCGAGAAGACATGGAAGAAGGATCCTGGGGAACACGAAATATGGACTGTACACGGAAGAAGGATACTGGGAAGACACGGAAGAAGCGATCCCAAAGACCTGAAAGAAGTGATCCTGGGGAACACACGAATAAGTGGATCCGGGGAAGACGAAGAAGGATCCTGGGGACACGGAAGAAGGATCCTGGGGAAATACATGGAAGAAAGGATCCTGGGAAACATACGGAAATAGGATCCTGGAGAAGACGGAAGAAGGATCTGGAGAACATACGGAAGAAAGGAAGGATCCTGGGAATAAACGAAGAAGGATCCTGGGAAGACACGCCTGAAGCATCCTGGGGAAGACAGAAGAAGGATCCTGGGAAGACATTACCAGATCCTGAGAAGACACGGAAGAAGGATCCTGGAGAAGACACAGCTAAGGATCCTGGGGAAGATGACAAGAAGGATCCTGGGAAATAAACGGCTGAAGGATCCTGGGAAAAACGAAGAAGACCTTAAAGACACTGAAGAAGGATCCTTGGGAAGATACGCAAGAAGGACCTGGGAAGACACGCCTGAAGGATCCTGGGAAGACACGAAAAGAAGGATCCTGGGAATAAACCGCTGATCCTTTAAAGACACGAAGAAGGATCCTGGAGAAACCAAATCGAAGACACGCTGAAGGATCCTGGGGAAGACATGATGAAGGATCCTGGAGAAGACACGGCGAAGGATCTGGGAAGATACGGAAGAAGGATCTCTGGGAAGACACGCCTGAAGGATCCGGGAAGACACGGAAGAAGGACCCTGGGAAGACACGATGAAGGATCTCAGAGAAGACACGGAAGAAGGATTCTCGAGAAGACACGGTGAAGATCCTGGAGAAGACACGGAAGAAGGAACTAGAGAATTTATTACGGCAGAAGTTGAACTTGGGAAGACAATGCAGAAGGATCCTAGGGAAGACACGGAAGAAGGATCTCTGGGAAGTCACGCAAGAAGCATCCTCGGAAGACACGGAAGAAGGATCCTACAAGACACAAAGAAGGAATGGGAAGACACGGCCAAAGGATCCTGGGAAGATTAGACGAAGGAAGTATCCAAGAAGGATCGTGGAGAAGACACGGAAGAAGGATCCTGGAGAAGACATCGAAGAAGGATCTTAGAGAAGACAAGGAAGAAGGATCCTGGGGAAGACATGGAAGAAGGATCCTGGGGAAGACACGGAAGAAGGATCCTGGGGAAGACACGGCTGAAGGATCCTGGGGTAGACACGGAAGAAGGATCCTGGGGAAGACACGAAAGAAGGATCCTGGGGAAGACACGGAAGAAGGATCCTCGGGAAGACACGGAAGAAGGATCCTGGGGAAGACACGGCTGAAGGATCCTGGGGGAGACACGGAAGAAGGATCCTGGGGAAGACACGGAAGAAGGATCCTGGGGAAGACACGGCAGAAGGATCCTGGGGAAGACACGGAAGAAGGATCCTGGAGAAGACATGGAAGAAGGATCTTAGAGAAGACAAGGGAAGAAGGATCCTGGGGAAGACATGGAAGAAGGATCCTGGGGAAGACACGGAAGAAGGAATCTGGGAAGACACGAAAGCAAAGGATCCTGGGGAAGACACGGTGGAAGAAGGATCCCCGGGAAGACGGAAGGAAGGACTTGGGAAGACACGGAAGAAGGATCCTGGGGAATACACGGAAGAAGGATCCTGGGGAAGACACGGAAGAAGGATCCTGGGGAATACACGGAAGAAGGATCCTGGGGAAGACACGGATGAAGGATCCTGTGGAAGACACGGAAGAAGGATCCTGGGGAAGACACGGAAGAAGGATCCTGGGGAAGACACGGAAGAAGGATCCTGGGAAAGACAAGGCTGAAGGATCCTGGAGAAGACACGGAAGAAGGATCATGGGGAAGACACGGAAGAAGGATCCTGGGGAATACACGGAAGAAGGATCCTGGGGAAGACACGGCGGAAGGATCCTGGGGAAGACACGGAAGAAGGATCCTGGGGAAGACACGGCTGAAGGATCCTGGGGAAGACACGGCTGAAGGATCCTGGGGAAGACACGGAAGAAGGATCCTGGAGAAGACAAGGCTGAAGGATCCTGGAAAAGACACGGAAAAAGGATCCTGGGGAAGACACGGAAGAAGGACCCCGGGGAAGACACGGCTGAAGGATCCTGGGGAAGACACGGCTGAAGGATCCTGGGGAAGACACGGAAGAAAGATCCTGGGGAAGACACGGAAGAAGGATCCTGGGGAAGGCACGGAAGAAGGATCCTGGGGAAGACACGGAAGAAGGATCCTGGGGAAGACATGGAAGAAAGATACTGGAAAAGACACGGAAGAAGGATCCTGGGGAAGACACGGAAGAAGGATCCTGGGGAAGACACGGAAGAAGGATCCTGGGGAAGACACGGAAGAAAGATACTGGAAAAGACACGGAAGAAGGATCCTGGGGAAGACACGGAAGAAGGATCCTGGAGAAGACACGGAAGAAGGATCCTGGGGAAGACACGGAAGAAGGATCCTGGGGAAGACATGGAAGAAGGATCCTTGGGGAAGACACGGAAGAAGGATCTGAAGGATCCTGGGGAAGACACGGCTGAAGGATCCTGGGGAAGACACGGAAGAAGGATCCTGGGAAGACACGGCTGAAGGATCCTGGGAAGACACGGAAGAAGGATCCTGGGAAGACACGGCTGAAGGATCCTGGAGAAGACACGGAAGAATGATCCTGGAGAAGACATGGAAGAAGGATCCTGGGGAAGACACGGAAGAAGGATCCTGGGGAAGACACGGAAGAAGGATCCTGGGGAAGACACGGAAGAAGGATCCTGGGGAAGACACGGAAGAAGGATAATGGGGAAGACACGGAAGAAGGATCGTGGAGAAGACACGGAAGAAGGATCCTGGAGAAGACATCGAAGAAGGATCTTAGAGAAGACAAGGAAGAAGGATCCTGGGGAAGACATGGAAGAAGGATCCTGGGGAAGACACGGAAGAAGGATCCTGGGGAAGACACGGCTGAAGGATCCTGGGGTAGACACGGAAGAAGGATCCTGGGGAAGACACGAAAGAAGGATCCTGGGGAAGACACGGAAGAAGGATCCTCGGGAAGACACGGAAGAAGGATCCTGGGGAAGACACGGCTGAAGGATCCTGGGGGAGACACGGAAGAAGGATCCTGGGGAAGACACGGAAGAAGGATCCTGGGGAAGACACGGCAGAAGGATCATGGGGAAGACACGGAAGAAGGATCCTGGGGAAGACATGGCTGAAGGATCATGGGGAAGACACGGAAGAAGGATCCTGGGGAAGACAAGGCTGAAGGATCCTGGAGAAGACACGGAAGAAGGATCCTGGGGAAGACACGGCGAAGGATCCTGGGGAAGACACGGAAGAAGGATCCTGGGGAAGACACACGGCTGAAGGATCCTGGAGAAGACACGGAAGAAGGATCCTGGGGAAGACACGGCTGAAGGATCCTGGGAAGACACGAAGAAGGATCCTGGGGAAGACACGGAAGAAGGATCCTGGAGAAGACACGGCTGAAGGATCCTGGGGAAGACACGGCTGAAGGATCCTGGGGAAGACACGGAAGAAGGATCCTTGGGAAGACACTGCTGAAGGATCCTGGAGAAGACACGGAAGAAGGATCCTGGGGAAGACACGACTGAAGGATCCTGGGGAATTCACGGAAGAAGGATCCTGGGAAAGACACGGCTGAAGGATCCTGGGGTAGACACGGAAGAAGGATCCTGGGGAAGACAAGGCTGAAGGATCTTGGAGAAGACACGGCTGAAGGATCCTGGGGAAGACACGGCTGAAGGATCCTTGGGAAGACATGGAAGAAGGATCCTGGGGAGGACAAGGCTGAAAGATCCTGGAGAAGACACGGAAGAAGGATCTTGGAGAAGACACGTCTGAAGGATCCTGGGGAAGACACGGATGAAGGATCCTGGGGAAAACAAAGCTGAAGGATCCTGGGGAAGACACGGAAGAAGGATCCTGGATATGACACGGCTGAAGGATGCTGGGGAAGACACGGCTGAAGGATCTGGGGAAGACATGGAAGGAAGCAGATCCTGGGGAAGACATTTGAAGAAGGATCCTGGATATGACATTTGCTGAAGGATGCTGGGAAGACACGCTGAAGGATCATAGGGAAGATACGAAGGATCCTGGGAAGACATGGAAGAAGGATCCAGGGGAAAACAAAGCAGAAGGATCCTGGGGAAGACACGGAAGAAGGTTCCTGGATATGACACGGCTGAAGGATGCTGGGGAAGAGACGGCTGAAGGATCCTGGGAAAGACACGGAAGAAGGATCCTGGGGAAGACACGGCTGAATGATCCTGGGAAAGACACGGAAGAAGGATCCTCGGGAAGACACGGCTGAAGGATCCTGGAGAAGACACGAAAGAAGGATCCTGAAGAAGACACGGAAGAAGGATCCTGGGGAAGACACGGAAGAAGGATCCTGGGGAAGACACGGAAGAAGGATCCTGGAGAAGACAAGGAAGAAGGATCCTGGGGAAGACACGGAAGAAGGATCCTGGGGAAGACACGGCTGAAGGATCCTGGAGAAGACACGGAAGAAGGATCCTGAAGAAGACACGGAAGAAGGATCCTGGAGAAGACACGCAAGAAGGATCCTGGGGAAGATATGCAGTTGAAGGATCTCTGAAGAAGTGGAAGAAGGATCTCTGGGAAAACAAATGGAAGAACTTGGGGAAGACAGGAAGAAGGATCTTGGATAAGACACGGCTGAAGGATGCTGGGAAGAGACGCAATGAAGGATCTTGGAAAGACACGGAAGGAGGATTCTGGGGAAGACACAAGGAATGATCCTGGGAATAACACGGAAGAAGGATTCTGGGAAGACACAAGGAAGGATCTGAGAAGACATGGAAGAAGGATTCTGGAGAAGACACGGAAGAAGGATCCTGGGAAGACACGGAAGAAGGATCCTGGGGAAGACATGAAGAAGGATCCTGGGAAGACACGGAAGAAGGATCCTGGAGAAGACAAGGAAGAAGGATTCCGGGGAAAGACACGGAAGAAGGATCTCTGGGAAGACACGGTGAAGGATCTGGAGAAGACATGGAAGAAGGATCCTGGGAAGACACGGAAGAAGGATCTCTGGGAAGACACGCAAGAAGGATCTTGGGAAGACACGGAAGAAGGATCCTGGGAAGACACGCTGAAGGATCTTGGGAAGACATGAAGGAAGGTTCTGGGGAAGATAATGAAGAAGGATTCCTGAAAGACACGATGAAGGATCCTGGGGAAGACGAAGAAGGATCCGGGAAGACACGAAGGAAGGATTCTGGGAAGACATGAAGAAAGGATCCTGGGGAAGACATGGAAGAAGGATTCTGGAGAAGACATGAAGGACTCCTTGGGGAAGCACGGAAGAAGGATCTTGGGAAGACACGAAGAAGGATCCTAAAGACACGGAGGAAGGATCCTGGGAAGACACGGCTGAAGGATCTGGGGAAGACACGGTGAAGAATTCCTGGGGAAGACGGAAGAAGGATCCAGGAAGACACGAAGAAGGATCCTGGGGAAGACACGGAAGAAGGATCCTGGGAAGACACGGAAGAAGGATCCTGGGAAGACAGGCTGAAGGATCCTGGGAAGACATGCATGAAGGATCCTGGGAAGACACGGAAGAAGGATTCTGGGAAGACACGGATGAAGGATCTGGGGAAGACACGGAAGAAGGGATCTGGGGAAGACATGAAGGATCCTGGGAAGACACGAAGAAGATCCTGGGAAGACGAATGAACGATTCTGTGGAAGACACGGCTGAGGATCCTGGAGAAGACACGGAAGAAGGATCCTGGGAAGACACGAAAGAAGGATCTTGCGGAAGACACGAAGAAGGATCTTGGGAAGACAC